TTTGTTTTTGCTCTTCAAAATAAAACTACATTAAATGTAAAACAATAAAAATAATAATAAATATAAAAGAAAAAGAGAACAAAATCAACCTGTGCTAAAAGTTTAAAATCATAGCAAACTACTACTTAATGATTATAATTAATTAAATATCCAAACATTATGCTTCAAAGTGGACAGCATGCTATTAAAAATCAGAACATCTTTAGCTCTCCGGCCCAGTTCGCGTTTCTTCTGCCACATGCGTCTGTGCTCACATACGTGGGATGCACACAGGTCTGTATGCTGAGACCTCAGTGTCCCAGCGTGGTATCTCCACAGGGGCAACAGCAAGGGTGCAGTGCATCGCAGCGGCACGTGGCTTCCTAAGTCAAAAGCAGCATTTTGTGCAATACCTCAAGGAATACCATAGGGCTTGGGAGATAGCTCAGCAGTCTAAGCACCTGCCTGGCAAGCGCAAGGATCCGGGTTCGATTCCTGGTAATTCATGTCATGCTGGCCCTGTGCCGTTCCAGCCACTGAAAGCAGTCATGGTGGCACATGCCTGTAATCCCGGCACTGGGGAGGCTGAGACAGGAGGATCACTATGAGTCTGAGCTGTGTAGTGAGACCCTGTACCAGATAAATTAATTAATTTTTTAAAGAAAGAAATACCATAGCAGTTTTTTAAACTATCCCACAGAGTCAACTAAAGAATATTGCTAATACCATGATTTCTGAGACAGCAGCAGCTTAATAAAAAGTGTTGCTGCCAGAAGCAAGGAACAGCAAATCTCAACTTAAAATATCTAGAGAAAGTACATGCTCCACGAGAGTGGGGGTGTGCCCTCACAGCGCACAGCATGCACACGGGGTGCCCAGATGACCTTAGTGTGGGGTGGCAGTCCCTCCACATGGGCTGTGCCCTGTGGCCTGTCCCGAGGCTCCTGTGGGCGTGGGCTCCTTACTCTCTACACTCTAGCAGCTCCCCAGTGAATCCTTGATGTCCTCCCCGAACCTTAGGCTAACACCGACTCAGAGGGCTCGGGGGATCGGAACCTGGGATGTTCACCACCTGATTCCCTGGCCCTCCACTCTGCTCCCTACAGACCTGCGAGACTGAGCCCGTGTGGCCTTCCTCCTGGTGGTTGGTGGCAGCCCTGTCTCTCGTTCAGGCTGAAATCTTGTCACTTTCTGTGGCGCTTCTAATGTTTTCACTGTCCACTGCTGAACTTGGATCAACACACTGTGTCATTCTGCCTTCAAAACAAATGTACTTCACGGCAAGTACACGAGTTGGGTCATCTCTCAGCAAGATCAGTGTAGGCACATCAAACTGAGTCCTTGCTGCAGTTCTTGCTTCTGTTCAGCAGCAAATGTGACCCTTTTAAACTGGGTGGAATCTTTTCCCTCCTCTGCTCAAACCCATCAGGTCTCTTATCCACCCAGCATGGAAGGCAGCACCCTTTCATGGCCTCCAAGGCCTAACATCGTCCTGCCCCACGCCTGCTCACCCACAGACCCCCAGTCTCCCTCTGATCTTAGCTCCCACACCCCAGCCGCCCGGACCCTCTGCTTTTCCACACAGGCCTCTTTGCCCACCGTCAAGCACGCCAGCCACTCCACGGCTCTCACCCCCATTCCTCCCTGTCTTGGAACCCACTTTTCTGGGGGCGCACTTGGCTTGCACCGCCTGTCTCTCACTCTGTGGAGATAAAGTTATGCTTCATTTTTCAGAGCACTTATCACACATTCAGTTGCCTTGTCTGATAACGTGTAAACTTGTGTGGATTCCTGTCTGCACTGCTCGCTAAAATATCCTCAGCTTCCTAGAAAACTCAGCCCCTGATATATATTCTAAATATTCATTGAAAAAATAATAGCTAACTCTACCCTGGATTTTGTAGCTCCAAAAGCCTTTGAGTTTTGAGACATTTCTGGCTTCTTGATGTTAGTTAGTATGAGCTGCTATTGAATCTGGGCTTGGGTTTCTTAAGCAAGCAAATGAGTAGAACCAAACAGATCTGCATTCTTGTAAATATAACTGTATTAGTAAATTCAGTGACATC